CCAAATCTATGTTTCTTGGGAATCCATAAGCATAAGAATCAAATCAGACCTGCTCCAATTTTTTTATGTTTTCTTGTTCCCCTGTCAAATTCTGAAATGCTAATCTGCACTTATTTCATTTGAAAGCTACTACCTCTACTTTACAGATTTGTCATTAAGAACTGCCACAATGCCAATGAAAATCAAAACTTACCTCTTCCTTAAATACTGCACTTTTATTCAGTTTTAAATTTTCTAAATGTGACTAAGGTTCTCAACTCTATGAAAGAACATAATATCTCCATAGCAGGATCTCTGTTAATGCCACTGTAACAACTTAACATTGTTAAAAAATAAAATAAAAAAAAAAGCAAAGATGTATGGTCGGCAAGTCATTATTGAATATAAAACAGAATCCTCAGAAAACATTTCAATTACATTAAATATCAATAGACTAAAATTTTTAATAAAAAAGAGAGTATTAGAATTAATAACAAGCAAGACTTAAATATATTCTGTCTTCATAAATTGCACTTTAAGAATGAGAACACAGATTGCAGGAAAATATATATACCATAGAGAATAACCATTAAGATAACTAGAGTAACTATATCTTAAAATAAGGCGAAGTTGACTTTAGGACAAGAAATATTGATAGATAATAAAGAAAATCTGATAAAAGTGTAAAAGGATAAGCTCATTAAGAAGACTTAAATCATTAAAATGTTTATGTTCCCAATTACAGAGCTTCAAAATAAACCAAATCTGAGAGGTTTGAAAGGAAAACATACAAAATAATTGAGTACCTCTACCTTCCACTCTCAGTAATTAAGAGAAGTATATTGAAAATCATTATATAGAAAATTTGAAAAAATTCACCACTTAAATTTAAATTAGTTGATATTTTTATAACATTACTGTCAGCAATTATATATTTTTTATTTAAGGAGCTATGGCTTATGTAGATAGATTGTATGCTGTGTCATAAAGTCTTAAGAAACTACAAAAAACTGACATGTTTTACCATTCATTCTCTGACCACAATTAAAGAAGAATTTAATAAAATAGGTAGAAAATCAATCAATATTTGTAAAATAAATAATATACTTCTAAAACAACTTATGGGTCAAAAATTACAAGGGAAAATGAAAAAAGTTTTCTGATAATGAAAATACAGTCTGTGAAATTTGTGAGATGCAGCTAACAAAGTGTTTAAAAGGAGTCATTACTTTAAGTATTATAATACATTTTCTAATGTATCATTTTTCTAAATGAAAGACCTAAATCAGTCATCACAATTCTACTTAAGTTATACAATAAAGAGTAGAGTAAACAAAAATTCAGTGAGAAGAACTGATCAAGAGCAGAAATCAATTAAACAAAAAACAGAAAAATATATAAAACCTAAAGTTTGTTCTATGAAGTCAATAAAATGAGCCTCTGGGGGGCCTCCCCCGGTGGTGCAGCCATTGAGCGCGCTGGGCTGCAAGGCTGCCCGCAGCCTCTGCAGCGCAGGTTCGTTCCCTGGCCGCCGGGGAGGGTCCCACAAAAAAAAAAAAAAAAAAATGAGCCTCTGGGCAGTCTGATCCAGGAAAGAAGTTTGAAGACACAAATTACTAACATTATAAGTGACAGTATATTACTAGAGATATTACAGAGACAAAACAGTATAAAAGAAATAGTATAAACAACATTATGACCAAAAAATTTTGATCTAGATGAAATGAAACTTCCTTGAAGAACTTAAGAATAAATGTGGCCCAAGAAAATGTTGAAAAAAATCTGCATAGTCCTACATCTATAAAGAAACTGAATTCATAGTTAAAATGCATACCCCAATAATAACTTCTAGGAGATATTGCTTTGGTGGTTAATTCTGTCTGTTAGTTAAAGCAATAAAAACAATCATACAAAAACTTGCAGAAACAGAAGGGGAGGCATAATTCCCCAACTCACATCTTGAGAGCTGTATTATACTGATACAAAAGCATCACAATAAAAGAACACTATAGATATATATCCCCCATGAACTCAGGTGTGAAAATCCACAGCAAAATTTTAGTAAACTATGTCAAACAATACATAAAATGGGTTAACCTAACGCATGATTGCATAAATAGAAAAATACTGCTGGGGCTTGACATATTCACATCAAGATGGTATATGCAAGATTAGTTTAGCTATATCAGTTGTATTTTACATTCTTGCTAAAACTTGTATATACAATAAATTTTCAAAATAAACTTCATTTACAATCATACTAAAAAAACCTAATACACAAGCATAACTTAGAAATTCTTTACATGACCTGTGCACTGATGATGCATGTCAAGATAAATAAAAAAGATACAAGCTTCTAAGCCATTACACAAAAACATGATCTATAAAAGAAAAAAATGAACTTGATCAAAGTGAAAAAAATGCTATTTTAAAGGCAATTATGAAAATAAAAAGGTAAAACTGTGAAATAAAACAAAATATTCACAAATCTTTTTTATCACAAAGGGCTTGATTCAAGAAGCCTCTCTGGACAGGGTGCTAACCCATGTATGGCACAGCATACTTCCTGTCTTGCCCACTGCTCCCCTAGTGGTGTATTTCGGTAAATCCACCTGTTCTGCTCCCCATTCTGTCTCTGGTGAATACTTTCACCCTCCTTTACCCTCACACTTCTGGTCTACACATCAGTTCTAATATGTAAAAAAAAAAAAAAGCCACCAAAAAACCAGCAAAGCAAAGGGCTTGAATCAGAAACACATAAAGAATATATACTTCAACTCAACAAAATGATAAACAATGCCATCAAAATAGGCAGCTGATTTAAGCAGACATTTCACAATAGAAGATAACATCAGTGGCATAGGCACATGATAAGGTATTCCAGTCATTAGCCATATGCAAAGGCAGAGACAGCTATTCATTTCCAGTCAGCTATTAGGTCATTCCAGACTAGGCTACAGTCAAAAGAACTGACAATACCAAGTGGCAAGAAAAAGTGAAAAAATTGGAACTTTTATCACTTCTTAGTGAGTATGCAAAATGTTAGAACCCCAGTGGAAAAAACATGGAGTTCTAACATATAGCATGGTAGTATCTTAGGAACTTAAATATAAACCTCCCATGTGACCCAGAAATCCTACTCCTACATATTTACCGAACAGAAATGAAAGCAATATTCACACAAACATTTCTATCCAAATCTTCATAGCTGAAGTATTTACGGTAGCACAAAACTACAATTACTTCAGGAGTAAATATTTCTAATACATCTCTCTATAATAATATATCCAGAATGTTAAGAACTCCTATAAAAATGATGACAAAAGAGAACCCAATAAAAATGGCCAAAAGAATTAAACAAACATTGCAAAAGTAATTACTTTAATGACCAGAAAGCACATGAAATAGTTTCAAGCTAATTAGTCAACAGGGAAAATGCACATTGAAACTACAAGATGCAATTTCATACTCAGTAAAATAACTAAAAATCAAGCAACAAATAATAAGAAAAAACAAAACCCATAACAGTAAATGTTGACAAGTAAAGAACTGGAATCCGTATATATCCGTATATATTGCTGTGGAATGCATATCTCTCAAATATCTAGTAATTTCACTTCATTTCTAAGTAAACAATATGAAATAAAAACACATAGTCATAAAAGACATGTATATAATGTTTTTATTATGCATCTTTATTCATAGGTGATCCAAAATTTCAACAACCAATGTTTCTAATAGAAGAATGGATAAACAGCGTAGAATATAGTCACGTATTTTCTTTGTTGTTGAGTCTCATCAGCTCTTTGCAGATTTTTGTGATCAGTCCTTTATCATTAGTGTTGTGTGCAAAAATGTTCTCCCAGTTGGTGGGGTTTCTCTTTGTTTTTGTTATTGTCTCTTTTGCTGTGCAGAAGCTCTTTAATTTGATGTAGTCACAGCTGTTTAGCAGCACTGTTTACAATAGCTAAGCTTTGGAAACAACCCAAATGCCCAAAAATAGATGACTGGATCAAGAAGATGTGGTACATATACACCATGGAATATTACTCAGCATTCAAAAAAGATAAACACATGCAATTTGCAGCAACATGGATGGTGCTGGAAGGGATCATGCTCAGTGAAATAAGCCAGAAAGAAAAAGAAAAATACCGGATGGTCTCACTCATAGCAGGAATCTAGAAAACTTAAATAAGGGACCAGGAAAATGAATAACTATAAGAAAGTGAAAATCAAAATCAACAAAAAACTATGAACCAGAGACACTCTATGGGGGGTAAGGGGGGAGGGGAGGGACTGGGGTCAAAATAAGGGGGTTGCAATTGTATGGGGAATATAAAAATAAAATTTATTTTAAAAAGTAAAATAAAATTATAATAATAAAAAAAGAATATAGTCACGTATTGGGGTACTACCAAAGAGAAAACTGAAACTAAAACTACAGATATATGCAACAATATGGATGAATTGGAAAATTATTATATTGAGGTAGGAAAATCCCAAAACAAAATAATACATATGTATTCTATTTATAAAAAGTTTAATAAAAAGCCAATCTAATCTTTGATGATAGAAATCAGAATGACACATACCTGTGAAATGTAAGGATTGAAAGCAAGTGTTAGTAGGGAATTGCCTTGGGATATGGGAAAATATTTTGTCTCAGTGGTGTTAGTGGTTATATTGGTATTTGCATTTATCAAAACTTATCAAAAATTATATACTCTGAGGTGTTGATTGAAGCATTATTTACTATTGCTAGGCTATGAAACAACCTATGCACCCATTAATATAAGTTTCAATCAAGAAGATGCGTATAGGAGAGAATTCTGGATCATATGGTAGACCACTATTTAATGTTTTGACAAACATCCATATTGTTTTCCATAAGGGACAGACTAGCAAATATTTCCAACAACACACAGTGTTCCTTTTTCTGTCAGTTCCTTCTTGATAAATATTGAAGGGTTTTTATTCTTATAAACAATGCAATAATGAACATTCTTGTGTTTTTCTTGTAGACACTTTTGTAGTTTGAGAAAATGTTCCTGGAAGAGAAATTCCTGCGCTAAGGTACATGCCTTTAAATTTGTGATAGACATTACTAAATAGCCTTACAAAAAGGTTTTCAAATTAACATTCTCCCCAATAATATAGGAGAGTATATATTTCTAACCCAAAATTTTGTCAATATTATTATATTGTTTTAATCATTTCAACCTAATAAGCAAAGTAGTAATCACCTAAAATAATTTATTTTAAAGTAGGAATGAGGTTGAGCACCTTTTCAGATAAGTACATTTCTATCAACTACCTCTTTGTGCTCTGTGTACATTTTTATTGTTGACTAGTCCTCTTCTCTTTTTCATGTTTAAAATTTTTGTATTGGGCCTTCCTGTAAGGGGTTAAGCCTCAACCTATGAAGCTATCCATAGCCACTGCAGCACAAGTTCAATCACTGCCAGGGAGATACCACATGGCGCAGCAGACCTCTCCTGACTTGCCCGCTGCTCCCCTCAGCTTTTTATTTCAGTCAATCTGCCTGTTCTGTTCCCCACTCTGTCTCTGGTGAATCCTCTCACCTCCCCCCCACACCTCTGTCCTGTACCCCAGTTCTTGTATGCATAAATAAATCTTTAAAAAAAAGAAAAAAATCTTTGTATTAAAGAAATGTTCCCTTAATCAAAAGTGCTACAAATAAGTTCTTTCTTTCCTATAGAGATTTCTAATCTTTATGAAGTCCTGTTCAGGATTGTTTTCCCCTCTGTATTTAAAAACAAAGTCTCCCATGTTTTATGATAATATACTTACCCTACTTTTATATTAAGATTTTCAATGTTTACTGGATCGCAAATTTATTTTACTGTAAACTGAACCAAGAGTATATCTGAACCCCACTTTATTGGTACCGTGAAATTAGTACCATGAAAAACATTTAACATTGTGTGTTTGTATCTTTATGTGTATGTGTGTGTATTCTCCCACTTTATTATATATTAAATTTCTTTAATTTTAAGTCATTTCTAGAGGAAATGAATGAAGTTGGAGGAAGTCATCAAGAGGACATGACCATCAACTGACCCTCTCAGCAGAACCCAGGCAATTTGAGGCTCTTTACTCTACCCCCAACCTTGCAATGTGCATTCCACTTGCCTGTCCTGCCCTGGAAAATGCCCCAGGAACACAGTCATGAGAGAGTAATGTGCTGTTGAGGCATTCTGGCAGTATATGTAATTCTGGTAGGCAGAGGCAGAGATACATCTGTCCCACAGCTGCCCAAGACAAGTCTCCAAGGTAAGTTCCCTTGTTTATTAAACTGATCACCTACTAATATGGAGTGATTTTTGCTTGCCCTCAGCGTAGGGGGCCAGTTTGGGAACCAACAAGAAGTCATAAGATAGTCCACTGACTTGTCAAATCATACACTGGTAAGAAAGAGACTTAAGGGCCTCCCCTGGTGGCGCAGGCGGATGAGTGCCACGCTGTGAAGCTGTCCGCAGCCTCTGCAGCGCTGGTTCGATCCCGGCCGACTGGAGAGGGTCACACATGGCGTGGCAGACCTCTCCTGACTCATCCACTGCTCCCCTCAGCAGTATATTTCATCAGTCTGCCTGTTCTGTTCCCCGCTCTGTCTCTGGTAAATCCTCTCACCCTCCCGCACATCTGGCCTGTACCCCGGTTCTTGTATAAATAAATAAATAAATCTTTAAAAAAGAAGAAAGAAAGAGATTTAAAATCTCTTGCTGTTATTTAGTATTTGCTAGTCTACTTTGCTAGTATTGACTCATTTTAAATTTTACTAATTTTAAGGGTACTCTGTTTCTTATTTCTCTTTTTGAAGAAATTACTGGTAATTTTTCCATTTTAAATTTAGTATTGACTTCTTTTCAAATTCCAAGTTAAGAAAATTTGTTAATATTTTTATGGAGACCACTTGAATTTGTAGATAAATTTGAGAAGGATGGATAGTTTTAAAATGTTGAACATTTCCAGTTTTATTTTCTACCTAGATATCAGTATATTTTTATATTCATTTAAGTCACTCCTTATGTACTTTGATCATTTAATTTTTCCTGTATTATCATTTCAAATACTATGCAAATTTATTCATAGTTTTATATTTTTATTTTTATTTATTTTTTAAGATTTATTTTATTTATGTAGGCCAGATGCACGGGAAGATGAAAGGATTCACCAGAGACAGAAGGGGAACGGAACAGGCAGACAGACGAAATACACTGCTGAGGGGAGCAGCTGGCAAGACAGGAGAGGTCTGCCGCACCATGTGGGTTGCTCCAAGGCAGATGGGGATCGAAACAGCACTGCAGAGGCTGTGAACAGCTTCACAGCGTTGCATTCAACCACCTGCACCACCAAGGAGGCCTTTATATTTTTATTGCTGTAACTATATGAAAACTTCTGACATATTTTGTGACAAAATGGTTATTAGTATTTGTACATTAATTTTGTGCCCATTCACCTTACTGAATTTTTCCTACTGATTTTTTCAGTGACTTCTCTTCATTTTCCCAGTTGTAATATTAACATTATAAATATAAATATTAATGTTAATATTAAATATGAGGCAAAATTTCATATTCAGAATATATATTAAATAGGTACACATATATACATATATGTCTACTTCTCCAGAGTGAATGTATAAACTAGAACTTCAAACTTATTGCTAAATAACAACATTTGTATAGATTAATATGTAATAGAATTTTGTGTTCTTTGAGGATATTATACCCTATTCATCACAGATTCATATATATTATATTAATATATTATTTAAACTTTTACATATTTTTATTATAAACTGAGGAAAGAACATTTAAATGTCCTGTGATTATTTTCTACCCTTTGATTTCTCCTTGTATTTGCTGTAGTCTTGGCTTTGCATTTTGATGTTAATTTGTGGCTTATAGAAAAATGGTAGTAACATACTGTTGTTTATATTCTCTTTTATTGAAAATGTTCCCCTTTGTCACATTGAATGTATTAATGTCTTGAATCAAACTTGTTTGATGTAACTATGAAGATATGAGCTTTCTGTGTAATAACATTTGCCTGTTCTATTTGTCACTCTTTTATGTCCAATATTTTATTTATTTATCTTAAATCTATTTTTTGGATGTGACTTACAGTTCTGTCTCTGTTTTTTGGTTAATATCAACTGTTTATTTTCATAGTGGAGTTTATCTCAATATTTACCTCAATTGACAATTATTTTGTTTTTAAGTTTTATTTTTAACATAACTTCCTCTTTTTATTTTTCTCCACATTCATGTGATGTTTTCTTCCTCCTGTCACCTTGAAAATTGCATTTTATTTTTCTTATTACATCTTTTAATGATTGTGTTATATTTTAAATAAGATATTTATTTTACATTTATGAATTTAAAAAGTGTAGCATTACATATTTAATTTCTTATCTAAAAGAAGAGGAAATTAGTTCTCATCCTCACCTATTCTCCACTTCTACCCATTAACTTTTATTGTAGTGCTGAAATTTTAGTATAATCTATTGCTGTTGTATTATTATTTTCACATGGAGTATTTTTTCCTCTGTGTGCTTATCTTTTCCTTCCTTTTCTTTAAAAACAACTCACATTTATTTTGCCATAAAAAATTTCATAATCCATGATATTCAGTTTTTATTTTCAGTCCTTTTCATTTGATGGTGTCTCTACTCCCACATTCTTCATTTGATCCAATCTTTGTCTAGTTAGATTCCTTCAACAAGTTGATTCTTAAGGAATCATGTTGCAATAATTCCTGATTATTTGAATGTTTAAGAATGCCAGTTTTATCTTTTAGCATTCCAGGTTATTTAAATAAACAAACATTTGATTAAGAATTTTTCCTCTATCCACTCAGAATTGAAAACTTCTACATTTATTCTTAAGTCTACTTGGAAGAAAATGTTAATGTCAAAAAGTCTGAGGACATGTTTTTACTCTTGATAAGTGAAGTGCTATTTTTTTCCCTACCGGAATGCCATAGGGCTTTATTCTATAAATTGAAATCCAGTGCATGAATCAGAAAACTTTCAGTGAAAATGACAGAAAGTAAATTTGAACTGGCATGCTGAGAAAAAGTGATTTGATAGTTCACATATATGTAGTAGTGTGGATGGGGAGTAGTAACACCACCACTAAGGATGACTGAAATAAGGACACAGATGCAGTCAAGTCTTTCTTACTTTCCATTCTGTACTCTATGTCTTTGTTGACTATATTATTTCCAATTAAAGACTTGTAGAGGAGAGAAATTGAAGAAAATTGAGGATATGATTTTAAATTGTTCCAGATACATATTCTGAACTTTCAGCAACAGAAAAAGGAAAAGCATTCTCTCCCAGCTCCACTTTTAAAATGTCATAAGGTCTCTGATTGGTTTGAGGATCACCTCCCACACAAACTATCCAGTAGTCAGAGAAATTACATACTCTGAACTAGCTCTGTGATCTTCTCTGCATGGATCATAGAAGGCACTATGGTGGAAAATCCTCACTAGTATTGATATGGAAAAGGATATTTCAATAAATTGAGTATTGTTTTATTCAGAATAAGATATAAATTTGCACTGCATTCAGTAAATTCACAAGAACATCACTTCTTTGAGATTTTGACTTAAACTTTTACTTAAAGCAGTATAGACTTTTAACTTGTATATTTAGATGTTATTACATTTCTGGAAAACATTCTTCTATTATGCTTCTTCACTTTTGTTTGGAACCTCTGGTTTTTCTTGAAATATATACACTATTTTCTTATATCAGGAAATTCAATCTTTTCTTTCTTTTTGAAACCCACAGCTATCAAAGGCATATTCTTCACCTGTCAAAAGCAGGAGTGCAAGAATGCAAGTTTAATTGCCAAAGAACTTTTTAAGCCTTTGTTGGTGTCACATCAATTCACATCTTATGGTCAAAGCAAGTCTTGGCGATCAAGCCTCAAGTCATATTTTTTTAGTTCAGTTCCTTCACCATGACAGGAGTGGATAAATAGATAGATCGACAGATAGACAAATAGATATAAGATATCTCTTCAGGAGAGTTAAGCATTGAGAATATGACTTGACTGTTCATAGTTTCTCTAATGTCATTGGGATTTATATGTAAAATATTCTCATCCCTATGCAAAGACTCCCAAATTTCATCCAATCAGGGTAGTAAATACAAAGTCCCAGATGTAATTACTTGTGATTCAGAAATCTATGAACTGAGTAACAGTTCAACAGAATTCAAAGTAGAGTGACATAACAAGGATGGGAAAAATTATAAACATTCCCATTCAAAATGAGTAATAGTGGGATGCACATTGACTAATGGTCCATGGGAATTTTGTTCTCCTAATGGATAAATATTGCTCAGCACCTATTTCTAAGAACAGGCATTGCCCTTTGATTAGGCCCCTCCCTGTTCTCTGGGAATGGTTCCCCCTGGTCCATTGCTCTCCCTAGCTCCTTTTCTGTCCTCTAGGAGGGCTTTCCTTTTACAGAAATATCTTCGATCACTTCTGAAGTACTCAATAGAGAAAGCTTTTCTTCTGAACAGAGGTTTTTTAACTTGCTTTCTCATGGTGAAAGTAGCAGACTCAAAAGTCTTTTTATACCTTGACTAATTTTTAACTCTTTTAGTCCAGACTAGAGATATTTTGCCAATATAACTCTCAAAATCTATAATTGTTATTTCTTTGATTCTAGTCAATGTATATTGCAAAAACTACAACCACAGTTTCTTTTTTCTCCCTGCAACATGTCTTTCATTTTCACTGCAATTACAGTTTTCCAGGGTATGTCAGACATCTAAGATACTACACATGATAAGCATACTAGGAGCCCTCTACCTTTTTTTTTCCAGCAGAAGAAATCTGAAGAGCTACAGTAGGTGTTTATTTAATCCTTTCTTAGGTTTAAAAAGGGTAGTATAGTCACTCAATTTTGTCATATTCTGAAGCTTATATCTTACTAAAAGTTTCAAGAATTATTCTTCCCTTTGACATGGTTCTTAATAACCATATATTTAAAGATCATGAAAAACAGTTTAGATTTATAATTTTGCAATCTCACTGTTTCTGAGTTCCTCATATTTCCTTTCAATTCTGTTTTCACCCTGTCCAGCCTTTTTCCTGATTTATAGTTTATTAAATATAGCCTGCATTGGCAACCTTGGAATCTCAAAAGTCTACCTCAAAATTTCCTCAACCAACGTGCAAGGTTACTAGGTATATATTCTGTTACTCATTTCCAAGTAACAGTTTTACCAAA